TGAGTAGTTCTGAAAACGTGAGGATCTTTACTAGGCTTAGTTCAGTCTTTATTCTACATTTCATAAAACTAGTGTAATAGCTTCTGATCCATCACCCTTCTGGGCTTGCGCTATTTATACTCCTGCACGTCCCATCTCCTAACTACTTACTTCTCCTACTTCCTACTGAACTAACCAGGCTATCGGTCGGGACGCCGACCCTCAGTCTTTCTCTCCTTCCTTAGCTAGCCTTGCCCCACATGTGCCCTACTGATCACAGTAAACCAGGATTGTTTACCAAGCATAAAACTACGGTCAAACACCTGAGGCTCAACAAGGTTTACATTGGAGGAAACTACTATGGCCTAACTCTCATTGACGACTGCTCCAATCTCGAGAAATTTAAACCACTATCCACCAAGAAGGCGCCAGTAGTATATGACGCCTTACTCGGAGCACTAGACGATTTAACAGTACTGAGTGGAAGGAAAGCGAACGTTTTACGATTCGACCGAGGATCGGAATTTGTGGATAAGGAAGCAGAGACTAATTTACTAAGACTTGGCTACGATGTTCGATCAACACCGAAAGACTCACCACAACACAACGGAAAAATTGAGCGGAGTCACCGTACCAATTTAGAAAGAGCTAGGGTGACTCTACACAACTCCGGCTTAGGTGACGAATTTTGGAGTGAGGCATACCAACATGTCACAGACGCTCATAACAACGTCGGGAGTAAGAGGAACTCGACAATCACTGACCGAAAACCAAATTAAAACCGGTTTCGAACCTTCGGCAGCAAATGTTTATGGCGGAAGACGACTAAAAGCAACAAATGGGATAAGCGCGCTCGCCATGGAATTGTGATGGCTAACCCCCAGCGAATCACCTCTGATAATTTCTGAGTTTTTAGTCCAGAAACCAACAGAGTATCACGAACCAGAGATATACGGGTTTTTTTAGAATGAATTTTACATATGGAAGGATGGACAATGTACGGAACAGACTACAGGAAGAAAAGCTGAGCCGACGAACGACGACTTATCGACCGTATCTTCACAGCCTATGGAACCAGGCGAAAATACTCAAGCCGCCTCTAGTAAACGCCATCGAGAACCGGAGTACTCTGACGTTTTATCAAAATCAAATTGTTCTACTGCTTCCAGAGAACAAACTGACACCATATCCGCTCACATCTCAAAGCGGAAAAAGGCCGGACGCCGATCTTCGAGAGAGGTCACAAATTTGCAAATTTCAGATAATCCAGCTTGGATGAACAACAAGAGCAATAACAGTTGTCGCTCTCAACGAAGAAGAAACTCAACAACTGCCTTTTCAGCTACTCAACATCATCATCAACCAACGCCGGCGCAGATCCCAATTCCCAAGACCTTCCGGGAGATTGACAATTTTTCAAATGAAAAGGAGTGGATGGACGCAGCGACCAAAGAAATCCGAGACCTAGTGGAACGAGGGACCTTCACTCTTGTAGACTCTAAACCTTCAAAAAGCGCGATTATGAATTCCAAATGGGTCTTTACTCCCAAAATGGACTCTGCTGGAAGAATCGAGCGTTTTAAAGGACGACTGACCGTAGCTGGATACAATGCTGTCGAAGGAGTGGATTTCGAACGGAGTGACGCGAAAGTAGTGAGCAAATTGACCGTACGAATTTGATTGACACTAACAGCCAGTAAGAAATGGTATGTCAGACAATTCGACTCGCCGAACGCATACCTAAACGAAAAAATGAACCGTTATGTATATATGAGGATGCCGCAAGGACTACACCTGGCCCTTGATTTATTCAGCGAAGAGGAGCAGGATCTATATCCTGAGTACAGCCACGGTAACAAAGCTGTATGGTGCAGAGTAAATTTACCACAATATGGCCTAAAGCAATCTGGCTACTTATATTTTGTGGAAGTCTGTGAGGTTCTAGGTCAACAGGGATATCAGCCAACTCGATCAGACCCATCACTATTTTTTTTTCTCGAAAAACTCCGATAGCACCTTGGACCTGGCCATTGTATATGCGGACGATTAAATCGCGACGGCCTCTGACAACCGAACTCTGGATATTTTAGAGGCAATTTTATTCAAAAAATGGTCAACAAAGTCAATGCCAACAGCGGAATGGTTTTTAAAAATGAAAATGGGATTTCTGCCCTCAGGAGTAGTCACCATACCCCAACCAATCTACGTCAGCACATTACTCCAAAAATATAATTTGGAAAATGCCCAACCGTCACCAGTACCCGTGCACAATACGGATTTGACACCGTGTCATTCTGACAGGCCCGCCGGAAATATGCCCTATAGAGAACTCATCGACGCCCTTCAATACTTAGCTGATGGTACGCGACCAGATATAACATTCGCCGAGAACCATTTATCCAGACACCTTGATAAACCACTCCTACGTCACTGGAACGTTGCCAAGCGAGTACTTCGATATCTGAAAGGCACCTCTGGATATGGACTAAGGTTTGACCCTGAGATACCCCTACAGCCGATAGCTTTCGCTGACGTAAGCTTTGCCTCTGACACAACAGACCGTAAATCAACAAGTGGCCACTTCATTTTTATGTGCGGTGCACCTGTGATTTGGGGATCAAGAAAACAGAATCTGACAGCACAGTCCACTTGCGAAGCAGAAATTATTGCTTTAAATGATGTCACAAAAGAAAATCTGCTGGCTGCGAAATTTACTGTCGGAACTTGGTATCGACATTGGACCAATTGTCATCAATCAAGACAACCAATCGGCGATAAAGATTGCTGAAGATGATAAGGATGAACCGCAGGACCAAACACCTCGACCTAAGACACTATTTTATCCGATTTTGGGATAAAATACAAGACAATTCGGTGGTTCTACGATACACGCTCACAGACGAGATGACTGCTGATGCTTTGACAAAAGCACTCGTGGGGAAATTGTTCGTTAAACACAAGAAAACCATGGTTAAGCCTGTAGCTGCTCGCACAGAGCATAGAAACTGAGAACCAAATAAAGCGGGGCTGGAAAGCTTCAATTTCTCTTGAAATAAATAACTTTGATAATAAACTCTCAAAGTTAGAAGCTGTGTGCAATGAGCTCCCAATGATGAAAGCTGAAGAGCAATGAGCAATACGAAAAATCAAAGAGCTCAAACGTCGGATTTTTCAGGCTAAAGTGTGAAAACGTTAACGTTTTTGTTTTTATATCTTTTTTTTGAAACAAAAACATTTGTGCCCTGCACCTGTTATTGTACTACGAGTTACTGGGTTGATCTTTGTCCTGTTTGTTTTTGTCCAACTTTCTGGCCTGCGTGCAGTGGCCTGAACCTCTCCCCAATTTTGGGGCTTCTGACCGTACACATTTTGATCCAATAATTTTAGGCCACATCTTCGAAGCAGACCTCGTGATCTATTTTTATTCCAGGAAGCTTGGATTCCGTCAAACTACATCTACAGCTTCAGGGGGAGTATTGATCACAGTAAACCAGGATTGTTTACCGAGCATAAACCTACGGTCAAACACCGGAGGCTCAACAAGGTTTATCCCAGCATCAACCAAGGAGAGAATCTAAACTCAGAGAGGGACACAGAAATATTACAGATGGAAATTAATCTCGGAGCCGAAGTGCCGGGAGTACGGAATCATCAATATAGAAAATCTCTGATGGGCATAAGGGCATCCCTAAATATCGGAGGAGTACAATCTAAACGTATAAGGCCTAAGATTACAATGGAAGCCACGATCAGTTGTAGACGTGGCGACGCTGCCTTTGGATTGGATCATAGATTTAGTGAGAACATTTTTCACCTTAAGAAGTGTTTATTTAATGGCTCAAAGATTACGAGTCCAATGCATATAAAAGCAGGGAATCGAATCAAATAAATCACAACTATTCACTTAAAACTTAAAACACTTTAAGATACTTTAATATCTGAGAACAACACCATAGATCTCGCACTAATCCCACGAGCCTGATTGTCGATATATGAGAGAACAATTCATGCGTGTATCTTAATACCTTCGTAACAATATCACCCCCCACTTCAACAGCATATATATATATATATATATATATATATATATATATATATATATATAGTATATACTACTACGTACGACGTACGTTCCGTTTTCGTTTCGTTTCGGTACCGG